ATATATATATATATATTTGTTGTTTTACATTCTTTTTGTGTATCTTAATCTAATGTTCGTTGACTTCCTTGGTTATTTCTTGTACTGTTCTTAATGTGTCGTGTTTTATTAGGTTTTAGAAGGAAAACAAAAACTTTAATATTGGGAACTTAACAGAACTATCTGGACTTCATTGTCAACGTCAATGTGAAATTTAATCATATAGCACATTATAAACAACAATGGCTGACCAAGGTTCTTTACAGTTCATTCAAAGACTTGTGTCAAAAACAAGTCAAATAAAATACAGAAACTAGAGCTGGGYGGTATGACCAAAATTTTATATCACGGTATTTTCAACATTTTCACCAGTTTCACTGTATTTGACGGTATTTTTCTTTTCATCACAGCTCAACTGATAATAAAATGTACAAACCCTGCTTATAAACTTTTTTCTTTTACTGTACCTCTGTCTGTGTCTCTGTTTCCCTCCTCTAAATGTTTTTTCTTCTCCTCCTGGTTGGAGACAGTAGTAATGCATTTTGGTCCGATCGTGAAGGAGGAGGGTTAAGAAAATATTATTATCGGGTCTATTGTTTTATGTTATCTAATAAAATTTATCAGGACAACTCACCGTGCACACCAGTCATCTTAATTCCACTACAAAACTACTTCCCTCTGGCTTTTCACAATAGAAGCACGTTAAAGTCTCCATGCGTCTCCATATTAACGTTGCGTGTTAAATCTAACCATGCACATCACTGAAGAGGTGTTCACTACATTCAGCRACAGCGAAAACGGGATGTTTTTTTAAGTAAGCCAATATAAGCAGCCACCCGCCGCTGTAGCTGCAACAATAACATTAGCATGCTAATGCACATAGTGGTGCAGTGAGGAAAAGTGTCCCTCGGGAAACAGTTCACTGGCGGCCGCGATGAAACGTTCCGAACGTGTTCAGTCTATTTAAAACGGTATGTCGGTATTCAGAAAATTCATATCATAACAAAAAGTAAAAACGGTATTCGGTACGAACTGGTATACCGCCCAGCACTAACAGAAACACTATAAGACAAAGACATCGTTTAACCGAACCTCAAACTGGATCTTAATCAAAAGCCAAAGAAAAGAGATGGTCTTCAGCAAAATTTAAAAGCCTCAACAGTCTCAGCAGACCACTTGTTAAGAGGCAGACTTTTCCACAGCTTTGGAGCAGGGATTGCAAAAGCCCGATCACCCCTGGATTTCATTTTGGATCTAGGAACATCAACCAGAACCTGGTTGGTAGACCTGAGTGCTCTGACTGGAGTGTAGATGTTAAGAAGATCAAATAAATATGACGGGGCCAGACCATTAAAAACTTTAAAAGCCAACAATAAAATCTTAAAATCAATTTGCAGTTGAACAGGAAGCCAATGGAGAGAAGCCAGGACCAGGGTTAATGTGTTCATGTTATTTCAGTACCTGTTCTGAACAATCTGKAAACAATGCAGAGATGATTTATCCAAGCCAGCATACACAGAATTACAATAATCCAAACAAGAGGGAATAAAAGCATGAATCGCTTTTTCAAGGTCTTTAGTGAGGAGATATGATTTCACCCTGGAAATCAGCCTTAATTAGAAAAAGCTTGATTTTACAACTGAATTAACTGGTTTATCTAAAGAAAGGCCAAGAATGTCATAAAAGTTAATTTTACAAAAAACTGATGACTTCAGTTTTACTTTAATTCAGAAAGTTTAGATTCAACCAGGTTTTTATGTCGTTTAGACTTTCAGAAAAGTGGTTCCAGCAGAGTGACCCTGTCTAAATTAATGGGCATATAGATCTGGATATCATCAGCAAAACAGTGAAAAGTCATGTTATACTTTCTGAAAACGGACCCCAAAGGCAACATGTAAAGATAAAAAAAAAAAGTGGACCTAAAACGGATCTTTGGGGGACCCCACAAGTCAGATGAGCTGCGAAGAACATTCACCAAGATGAACAGGAAAAACTCCTGTTAGTCGAACAAGATTTGAACCAAATCAACTGTTAAAAGATCATTAAAAACAGTTAAAAGATAAATTATTAGGTAAAAAAACAATGAATATCAAAATTTATGATAGATGAATTTAGATTTCCTTGCTGTTCGATCTCAATTGTAATTATTGCTAAATATGTTCAGCCACTGTTTTGGGTCACTGAATAAAATAAGATGACATGTTCTTATTTTTGCTCAACCTTACAGGATGTAGTGTCGCAGAACTGCGTTGTGATATTTTCCAAGACAACCTGTCCGTATTGTAAAATGGCTAAAAATGTGTTCAAYGAAATCGGCGCAACTTACAAGGTCATTGAACTGGACCAGCACAACGATGGAAAGAGACTTCAAGAAACATTGGCTCAAATGACCGGTGCAAAAACAGTAAGAACAACAATTTATATCTAATTTTACTGTATGACGTTTTAGCTTCTATTAGGGAAAACATCAAAAAACCAATAACATTCTAGTTTAGCCCTATAAATCGTATTAGATGATGAATAAAGCCTCACAATGGTGCTGCATGATTATGGGGTGCCATTTGTAAAGTTACACAGTCAAAAATTACCACCAATATTTTTGTTTTATTTAGCATTTTATAACAAAAAAAAGAACAGATTTTTTTTCGGTCAGTTTTTCATCATATGATTCATACATTTATAAATGTCATAGTTTATAAACTAAATATTTAACTTACAAATTAAATATTTATTT